ATCCACCCACCTCCGCCTCCCATAGTGCTGGGATTGCAGGCATGAGCCACTGTGCCCGGCCCACACTACGATTTTTAACACAAGATGTGGCCTTTATAATAACTCACTAGGGGCAGGAGAAAGGAGAGGTCATGGTCTGAGGCTTGGGACCACCACACCCCAGTTCCTGCACTGGAAAATTACAGGCTCGTTAAGGACCCAGAGCCCCTTCCAGGGCCACCCTGTTGGTCGAGAAGGGAGAACTTAGAGTCTTAAATTACAATTTGAAAAGGTAGCTGCTAATGTATATATATTAGAAACAGTAAGAACTGTTGTATTTGAAACAGAACTAAACTTTCTTCCCCTTTCTGCCATGAGGTGTTAAAAAAAATTTTTTTTTTGGCGGGGCACAGTGGCTCACACCTGTAATCCCAGCACTTTGGGAGGCCAAGGTGGGAGGATCACTTGAGCCCTAGAGTTGGAAACCAGCCTGGGCAACATAGTGAAACCCTGTCTCCACACACACAAAAAATTAAATTAGCCGAGCATGGTGGCCGGCCCCTGTAGTCCCAACTAGTCAGGAGACTGAGAAGAGAGGATCACTTGAACCCGGGAGGCAGAGGTTGCAGTGAGCCAAGATCACGCCACTGCATTCTAGCCTGGAGTGCCAGGCTGTCTCAGGAAACATATACTTTTTTCATGTTTAAAAAAGGCAGTCAAATTAAGCAGTGTGGGGGTTGAATGCCAACTACAATGATACTAAGGTTAATTAGTTCTGACATCCCACTGCCATTCAGACCAGGCTAGAGGTGATGTTGCATGGAGGATGGGTGTGACGCTGCTGATGACTCCCCTGAACTGCTGGGTATCTTAACACCATCACCTACTGAGTTCAGAATGGGCATCTGACCCCCCAAGCCCCATCTCTTCCTCTAACTGCCAACCCTTTTTTCAGTTAAAGCAGCTCCATCCTTCCAGGTGCTTGGGCCAGACCTTGAAACCACTGACTCCTTTCTTACTCCCCACATCCAGTGCTTCAGCAAATCCTGTCAACTGTGCCTTCAGAGCACCTTCAGAATCCGACTGGACTCACTCCCATCTCACCACCACTCTGGTCCTGTTTTATTTTTTGAAACGGGGAGTCTCACTCTTTCTCCCAGGCTGGAATGCAATGGTATGATCTTGGCTCACTGCAATCTCCACCTCCTGGGTTCAAGTGATTCTCCTGCCTCAGTCTCATAAGTAGCTGGGACTATAGGCGCGTTGCCACCATGCCTGGCTAATTTCTTTTTCTTTTTCTTTTTTTTTTTTTTTTTGAGGTAGTTTTGCTCCTGTTACCCAGGGTGGAGTGCAGTGGCCCAATCTCGGCTCACTGCAACCTCCGCCTCCCGGGTTCAATCTATTCTCCTGCCTCTGCCTCCCGAGTAGCTGAGATTACAGCTACTTCTATTTTTAGTAGAGAAGGGGTTTTGGCATGTTGGCCAGGCTGGTCTTGCACTTCTGATTTCAGGTGATCTGCCCACCGCAGCCTCCCAAAGTGCAGAATTACAGGCGTGAGCCACCACGCCCAGCTGATTTCTATATTTTTTTTTAGTAGAGAAGGGGTTTTGGCATGTTGCCCAGACTAGTCTCAAAACTCCTGACCTTAAGTGATCCGTCCATTTTGGCTTCCCAACGTTTTGGGATTACAGGCATGAGCCACCATGCCTGACCTGGTCCTGTTCTACATTTTAAGACTCCAAAATAACAACCACATACAACACACAATAAAAACAGGCATGAAGGCCTTTCAGCTGGAACCGCCATCTTTCAGTAACTGGCCAAAATGACGAACACAAAGGGAAAGAGGAGAGGTACCTGATACATGTTCTCTAAGCCGTTTAGAAAACATGCAGTTGTTCCCTTGGCCACGTGTATGTGCATTGATAAGAAGGGTGATATTGTAGACATTAAGGGAATGGCTACTGTTCAAAAAGGAATGGCCCCCAAGTGTTACCATGGCTCAACTGAAAGAGTCTACAATGTTCCCCAGCATGCTGCTGGCATTGTTGTAAACAAATAAGTTAAGGGCAAGATTCTTGCCAAGAGAATAAATATGTGTAACGAGCACATGAAGGACTCTGAGAGCCGAGATGGCTTCCTGAAACGCGTGAAGGAAAATGATCAGAAAAAGAAGGAAGCCAAAGAGAAAGGTACCCGGATTCAACTGAAGCGCCAGCCTGCTCCACCCAGAGAAGCGCCCTTTGTGAGAACCAATGGGAAGGAGCCTGAGCCGCTGAAACTCTTCCCTATGAATTCATGGCATCATAGGTGTTAAAATAAAAAAAAAGAAAAAAGACCTCTGGAATAGGAAAAAAAAAAAAAAAAAAAAGGCATTAAAAAACTATTTGGGCCGGGCGCGGTGGCTCAAGCCTGTAATCCCAGCACTTTGGGAGGCCGAGATGGGCGGATCACGAGGTCAGGAGATCGAGACCATCCTGGCTAAACCGGTGAAACCCCGTCTCTACTAAAAAATACAAAAAACTAGCCGGGCGAGGTGGCGGGCGCCTGTAGTCCCAGCTACTCGGGAGGCTGAGGCAGGAGAATGGCATAAACCCGGGAGGTGGAGCTTGCAGGGAGCTGAGATCCGGCCACCGCACTCCAGCCTGGGCGACAGAGCGAGACGCCGTCTAAAAAAAAAAAAAAAACAAAACTATTTGGGGAACAACTGAAGAAATCTGAATGTGACTAGATACTAGAGGATATGGAATCATCATCCATTTTGGTTGTGGTGATGGGAGAAGGAGAATGTGCTCAGAGAGGCAAACTGACGAGTACTTCCATGAGCTCAACTGCCCTCAAAATAAAAGGCTTGGGATAAAAGAGTGACATAGACTGAGGATGGGCCAGGGCTTAGGAGCATGGAGGCCACTCCTGACCTTAATACGCATAGTTTTGCTAGAGTCATGGAGACAAAGCCTGTCTGACGCAGGCCCAAGAGAGAACCGCAAATGGGTATCAGCTGCTTCCCTGTGGCGCTCTGCTGCCAAGGGCCAGGAGCTGGAGAGGAAAAGGGGTCAGCAAAGCGGCTTGGCTCTAAGGAGAAATGACTTGATTTTCACATGGGAACGATGGTCCTGGTCAAGCAGAAAACAAAACTGACGGCGGAAGGTCTTACTGCTCAGGTGTTTAGGAGCAGGACAAGTGGGATCCCACCACAAAGTCTGGCCAGCTCCTTCCGGGCTTTCCCTTCATATATGCTTCCATCTGGTTGTAATATTTTTCTTCCTTAGTGGTTAAGTACAAGGCATTTCCACAGCTAAAACAGTGCAGGAGATCACCACACATATCAATGGGGAAATAATCCCTCAGAGGGAAAGCAACTTCCCTACGCCACCCCAAAAGCCAGACCCAGAGTCAGGGCTAGGCCTCAGGCTCCTGTCTGTCTAGTGCCTGCTGCTTGGCTGTGAGGTTCTCTGGTTCACGTGGTGACGGGTCAGCTGTGTTCTTACCTGTCCCCAAGGCTGGATCCTGGGCTGTCACCTCATTCATACATTGGGGAAGACGAAGGCCTCCTCATGAGAACATGAAGCACATGGATGGTGGTGGAGGAATTGGGGGTGGGGGAGTTAGGGGTCAGGTGTGCTCCCCTCACACTTCCTGCCCAGTGCTGTGACTTCTACATTTCTAAGGTGAGCCTGGCACCAAAAGACACTGGGTCTAGACTTCCATCAGGTTCAAGTTCTGATTTCTGCCACTTCACTTCCTAGCTCTGTGGCTGTGGGTACACCTCACCCCTTCTAAGTCCACATTCTCTCCTCTCCTCTCTGAAATATTGGCACTAGGAGCACCGGCTCTGGTGGCAGTGAGGATGAGATGCCAGCAGAGGCACAGGTGTCTGGATGTGCAATGATGGCAGCAGGTCCATTCACTGAATACTGGGGACCCACCAGGTGCCAATGGGGAGAGGGTGACTTCAGGCCAGGCTGTCCAGGCAGAGCTGAGGAGCTGCTGCTCGGACAGCTGCTGGGAGACCAAGGGTGGTCCTGAATTGGCGAGGAATGAGGAAGAAAGAGGAGCAATGCAAAAGGGTGGTGGTGTTTTAATCAAGTCTCATTACAGAGGCAGAATTAGGAATGAGTCCCACCTAGCTTCCACATGTGTGGGCAGCCGCTGTCACACGCACCTGCCGTGGCATTCAGCCCATGGCACAGACATATGTGGCTCAGGGCAAAAACCAGTGGGTGGGGCTCTGCACAGGAACCCTGGCCTCGGAATGGGAGACCCAGCCTGCCCAACACTGCTCAGAGCCCCTCCCAACTCTGACAACAGGCTCAGGTCAGGACTCCCCTGAAATCACGTGCCCTCCTGCCCCACTGCTGAGATCCTCAACATGCCAGACCTAGCTTGGAAACCTTCTTTCACCTGGTCGGCCAGGAAGGCAGCAAACAGAGATGGTAACTCAGGGAACGATGTGCTGTTCGGAAATGGCTAGGGAAACAACTGTTTCCCTACTGACCTGGCTGGACCCACCCTGGGCTAACAAGCTTCCCAAGGAAGTCCCCAAATGGGAACCTAGGCTGAGAGAAGCAAGACTATGGCGGCATCCAGAGGGCAGCCTCAGGTTTTGTTCCTGAGAACGAAGGGTGGCCCCGGAGGCTCAGGCATGCTCAGTGGGGCCAGGGCCACCAGCATGAGAGTGGGCAGGGGCTGCCACCTGTAGGGGGCCAGCACTGGGCTCCGGGGACGCCAGCAGAGGGGCCGAGAGACCATCAGCAGAGTCTGTGTCGAGGTCCAGCCTCCCGTAAGCTTCGCACAGAGGCAGGTCATTAGCTTCGCAAAGGCTTGAGCTTTTCCACCACCAGAAACCCCAGGGAGAGACAGGAGCAGGCAGAGAGGAAAGCCAGGGGAGGGGAGAGCAAGACAGAAGCAGAGTTAAGAAAACACGACCACACCCCAGACCTGCCTTTCCCTTTCTCCACTCCTGCTCCATCTGACCCGAGTCGGCAGGCCTGGCAGAGAGAGGGGGCCAGCGTTGAGAGCCACCCCAGCATCCTTAAAGGAGGAAGCCGCCCTGGCCCAACCACCAGCAGCTGTGTGACCTCAGCAAGCCCTTCCTGCCCAGCCTCCACGTGGGCCTGTCCTAGCCTATGCTTCCCAGCTGGTGCTGGTCCCCCTCCTCTTGCAAGAAGCTGTCAGGCTGGCAGCCCTCCCTCCTCCCTGACTGCAGAAAGCCCAGTGTCACTGCACTGCAAACAGCTCTCGGAGGGCAGAGACTGTGTCTTCTTTCTGGGTTGGTCACTACCTGAAACTTAGCCTGAAGGGGGCGACAGCTGGGAACACAGGCCCTGGCACTTCCTGGTAGTGCTACACCAGCCAGGTGGCCTCCAGCAGGCGTCCCCACCTCTAACGCAGGGAATCCTCGCGGCAGCCAGGATGCAGGTGAAGAGCACAGCTAGCCCTTCCCATGCCCGCAGCTGTGACAGTCCATGCTCGCCTCGTGCTAACCTGCAGGCAGGGGCCCTGGCTTTCCCGCGGCCTGCCTCGCCCCTGGCTTCCTCTCTTGCTCCTGCCCTCAGTGTTCAGTCTCAGAACCGTCCTGGGCACAGAGTGGCATCCCGAGGAAAGCGGAGGATAGGCAGAGCCAGAAAGAGCAACTAAACAGCGGAGAGGGGGCAGGCGAGCACGGAGGCACAGCTCATGCGGGATGGGGCGGGGAGCGTAGCACCCTTTGGGGCACCAACAGGAAGGGACAGAGGAAACTCAGCCCAGCCCTTGTCGCTTAAAGGCGATGTACAGAGGAGGGAGCAACTGCTTCTGCCACAGGAGCTGTGTGAGGCCCCCAGGGGGCGCTGGTGTGAACAGCAAGCCTGCGGGAGGAGACACAGGCTGGCCTGGAAGCCCCTCTGGGTGAAGCCAAGGGACTGTTGGGGGAGGGCATGGGAAGCCTGGCACACATGTCCTGGGTTTGCGCCCCGCTTTGCTGCAGGGCCGTGGGCAGGTTCCCTCTCTCCCTGCCCCAAGGCAAGGCAGGCAGGCTGAATTACAGGCCCACAGCTGCTCTGTCCAGGGGCCCTCAGCGACAGTGGCTGCCTCCAAGAGACAGACAAACCGAACAGCTGTGGAAGATGCCCAGAAGGGTGTGAAACACCCCAGGACCCCTCTCAGCCACTAGTGTGGAGGAAATGCTGCCTCATATCTGCTGAGTTAATGAGTACTGAGGACCAAATATTACCCCAGAACGCCCTGGAAAACTCTAGAACTGCTGCAGCTGAGCAGTGCCACTGAGCCCAGGACAGGGAAACCAAGTTCCAGGTCATGCTGGCTCTGGACATCTGTGGCTCCCAGCATGGCCACTGGGCAGAAAGGGGCATTTTAAATCTACCACCAGGAAGGTTTGTCCAGGAGAAGGCACAAGATGGACACGGACACTGCGTCTGCTGGACTGAATCTTGATTTTCTAAGCTAATGGGGCAGAGTGGAGGGCCTCCCTGTCTCCAGCCTAAGTTTACCCCAGGTAAATGATACGTGGACTCTGATTTCTCAGGGCCCCTCCAGCTCAAACGGCTGAAGGTTTCAGCTTCTTACATGGCCCCACGAGGGTCAGGATAATGGGTTTTGACCCTTCTGCATCCCCGGGGCCCAGCATGAGGCCTGGCATGTAGGTCGGCTCCAGCTCCGTGGATAAGGCTGAGTGGGTCAGAAACTGGAGGTCCAACGGCTTTCAAGGCCATTCCCTCATTCCCTGCCTGGGCTTCAACCCCCCACACTCCTATGACTGTCCCTGCCTCCACACTGGGGCTTGGTGACATCCACATGGAATTGTAACCCGGGTGCCCTGGACATAGGTGTGGACCTGACTGCCCAAGAGGGGCTGGCCTGGCCTTGGCTGAAATCTCTACATATGGATTCAGAAGCTAACAGGAGCAGCCCAGCCCCAGAAGGCACTGCCTGAGGAGGAGGGCTCTGGGAAGAGGACCTGCGGGGGATACAGCCAGGCGCCTCCCTTCTCCAGACCTGGCCTATCCGACTGGCACTGAGTCCTGTGGTTTTCATCACACTGCACTGTGGGAAAGGCCCAGGGCTCTGGCAGATGGTTGTGAATTGTCTGTCGATCAAACGCTCTGGTCAGAAGCTCTGCTCTGAAACCCAGGCACGGCTCCACTGCCAAGACCAGCAAGAATTTGAAAAAGCAGAAGGCAGCCTTGCCTGCTGGCCAGGCCCAGGTAGGCGGGCTCCCGCTCTGCATGGGGAGTCCAGCGCTATTTATACCTGGACGAGTAATACTCCTCCTCCAGCTCATAGAGGTCGATGGAGATCTCGTCTCGCAGTGTGATGAGCTTCCGGTCGCACTCCTCCTGCAGTGCGCGCAGCTGCTGATTGCGCTGGTCGATGGCCTCATTCACTGAGGGGAAGTCATTGAGGATCAGGAACTGCTTGAGGTCGGACACCAGCTTCATCAAGGACTCGCCGGCTCGGACCTGTGGCCATCAGAACCAGGGCGGGCACAGGGTGAGGGGGTGACAGCGGCCCTGCCTGCAGGTGGCTGATGTGGGGCAAGGGATGGCCTCTCTGGGAGCCTCAGCTTCTCATCTGCAAAGTGGGACTCTACCCCCTGACCTCCACAAGTTCATTTGTGAGAATTAACTGAGCAAACTAGGATGTCAGTTCTGCAGGGCAGGCCCTCCCCTCCCTCAGCCTCTGGCTTCCACTCCTGCAGGACTGGCCTCCAGTCCAATCATGCAGGTGCACATTCTGCTCATGAAAAACTCAAACCCCACAGATAAAACTACGATCCCATTTTGCCTCCTGCCCCGGGTAGGGGTAGCATGGCTGCCAGCTGGGTAGAGCTCCTGCGAGACCTTTTGCCATGCATTTTGAGCCCTGGACGTGCACCTGCGGGAATATCTGCTTGCTGTGTTTCTCCTGTGATCCGAAGGAATCCAATGGCGCCTACAGTTCCATTCAGCTGTTTGTCTTTTCACTCACAACCGACCTTAGGAACTCGTGAGTTAGCAGGAAGGGCTGCCCTCTTCCCGGCCACTGCACAGCTACAGGACAGGTATGGGCGGCTCTCTGCCCAGCCCTCCTCCAAGTGCCCTACGTGAGGACAGTCTCCTGAGAAATGATTTGCCCCACCTCATTCTTTAAAGCTGCTGACTGGTGAAACCAAAGCATCTCTACATTTGCCTCCTTCTGCTCCTTCTCGGGGGAAGAAGAGCAGACCAGCCCCAGAACCCCCTACACGCCACCCAGGAAACCCCAGCCGGGACAGATGCTCCCGGAGCCCAGGCTGTGCCCTCCACCCTGGCCACTCACAATGTTGGCGGCTCGCACGTGCATCTCGTAATTGTCCTGTTCACCCTGAGTGGCCCGTGACACCTGCGTCTCGTCCTCAATCTGGGGGCAAACAAGAAAACCTAGAATCAACCCAGTCAAGGCATCGGCACCCCTGGCCCGGCCCAGCCCAGCTTATGGTAACTGTCATCTGCCCAGGATGCCCACACTATCCACAACCTGTCTGTGGTGCTGTCTACAGACCTGAGCGCTGTCAGCCAGACCTCTGGCAAGGTTCAGTTCCATCCTCTCTTGTTCTGGCCATGGGAGACAACAGGCACCTTGCTCAAGACAAATGGAGGCAACTCACACTGCTTACTGTGCTACATGCAGGGATGGGGGCTTATCTTGGACCAGTCTTTTTGGGCTGTGGGAGCCCTGTCTGGCAGGAACCCTTGTCACTTGCTTGGCATTTGGTAAACTGCTGGATGAGTGACGGGATGGTGTATTTTTTTTTCAGCGACCATTTCCTGATCACTTCCCAGGTGCCAGGCTGTGTCACGCACTTGACCACTATTAGCCCATGACATTTTCACAGAAGCCTGCCCTGCCACCCCTGGTTTATAGGTGGCCAAGCGAGGCTGGGACAGACTGGTGGTCAAGGAGTCTCAGATGGTGAACGGAGGGGCCAGGAGCCCAGCCAGTGCGTTCGGCTAACTTGGACAGGGCTTCCCAGCAGGTCTTGCAAGGGCTCAGCTCAGGGTGGGTGTCAGGTACCCTCAGTGGTTAAGACCTAGACTTTGTGGGTTCAAATCCTGGCTCAGCCAGTTATGAGCTGAGTCACCTTGGGCAAGTCACTAAGTCTCCTGGGCCTGGGTTTCCTCCTGAAATGAAGAGGACAACAGTGCCCACCTCACAGACTCCTCATGAAGATTCAGCAGAACAGGCACAGACAGCCTCACAACGTGGTTTGACACATGGCAAGCACTTAGTACATGCCAGCGTCCATGCTTATCATCATTGCTTATGGAGCCGGCAGGTCTGCAGCACCCAGGAAGGATCCAGCCCAATCTAGTGCAGCTGCAGCAGTCAGCAGGCTTGCAGGCCCCAGTGCTGACCGCTCCACCTGCCTGGAGGGCCCCCCCCACTTCTCCCCTCAGTCTGCTTTTCTCCTGCTCACTGGCTCTGTGCCCAAAGTAAGTGTTTTACACAGGTAAACTCACCAGTCATCATAAGGTCATTGTGGGGTCATCATAAGGACCCCACAAAGCAGGAGAAACTGAAGCACTAAAAAGTGAAATCTCCACCCAAACCCATACTGTTAGTAAGGGCTGGACATGGGTCCGCGGCAGTCCAGCCAGAGTCCCCTGCGCTGCTTTGCCAGGACGTGCCATTATTTGGTGTATCTACTGACCAGCTCCCTGTGCACTGGGTGCTTCCTGCCTGGAACACTATTCACTCACGCTGCTCAGCCCCTGGCCTCTCCTGTCTCCATCTCTTCCCAAACCCTGCTTCCCTTGGTGGTCCCCCCCACCCCCACCTTGGCGGTCTTGATGATCTCGGTGAAGTTATCCATGATGGACTTAATGTCATCCTTCAGCCGCTTGTTGTAGGACTGCAGCAGCGTCTCCTTGCTCTGGGGCAGGGCTCTCTGCTGGGCCATGGCCGAGCCTCAGGCAGCGCAGCGGGAAGACCTGGGACCTTAGAGTGCAGCACAGACCTCTGAGTGCAGGCAGAGTCAACCCAGGCACCCTCTATGCCCCAACCTTAGCAGAACACGCAGATTTCTGGGGATTCCCTTTCTGCCAAATAAAGTCAATCACTGAAACACAGATGAACTCAGTCCATCAGCAGGCACTGCAGGGGGTTCCGGGACTCTCCTCTGGCCCCGCCTTTGCCAGAGCAAGCTCATCCTGGAACTCCTGGCCAGCCCTCCAAGCCCTGTCCAGGGCTGCAGTCCAAACTTCATATCCAGGCCCACAGAGTGTCCCAGAGAGGCCTGCAAGCTCATCACCAGCCCCTGGCATAACTTCTTCGCCCGCCGCCACCCTCACCACGCCCTCCCATCCGAGGAGTCCTTCTGCACCGCCTACATCCACGCTTTTCTTCCATTCCCACTCCGGCTGCCCCGCTCCAGACCTCATCCCTGCACTGCGGCCCCGCTCCCTCCAGTCTCTGCGCGGCAGAGAAGAGGTCCTAAAAAGTGGTCATTCCGGCCGGGCGCGGTGGCTCACGCCTGTAATCCCAGCACGGGAGGCCAAGGCAGGGATCATCTGAGGTGAGGAGTTTGAGACTAGCCTGACCAACATAGTGAAACCCCGTCTCTACTGAAAATACAAAAATTAGCGGGGAGTGGTGGTGGGCGCCTGTAGTCCCAGCTACTCGGGAGGCTGAGGCAGGAGAACCGCTTGAACCCGGGAAGCACAGGCTGCAGTGAGCCGAGACCACGCCACTGCACTCCAGCCTGGGCGACAGGGGGAGACTACGTCTCAAAAAAAAAAAGGGGGGGAGCCATTCCACTCCCTCGCTTAACATCCCTCATGGCTCCTCCACCGGGACAAGGGGCTCAAGCCCCGCGCGCCTCTCGGCCTCTGCCGTAAGCCGCACTGGACAGCCTCGGCGCTGGACCTGCCTGGCCTTCGGGCTGGGCCTCTGCGCGCGGTGCTCAGGGAGGGTCCGGGGCCCCCTAGGTTCGCGGCCTGGCGCACGGCCGAGCGGACTCCTGGAAGCACTCGCGTTGTTTGTGCCCATTTTTGACGGGGTGGGGGAATTAAGTCACACGTAGGAAAGTGGATCCCCGACTTCTGCGCCTACGCACCCACACACCCCCCACTACCTCCATCCCCACTCCCCACCACACCCTCATACCCACCCCAGCGCCCGCGCACCAGACGCCGCGTCTGCCGGGTCGGCCTGGGGCGGGGTGGACAAGTACCTCTGGGACCCGCACTTTCCCGCGTCTCTCCCCCGGCCGGGCCCGCCCGCCGCAGCGTCTATTCCCCGCCGCGCCGCAGCCTCTCGGCCCCGCCTCGATTTTTACATTTATAGGAGTGCTGTTGCTTTAAATCTGAAATCCCGTGCCGGTATCAACTCTCGCGATCTCCAAGGCCGCATACATATTACCCACAATTCCCTTTTCTTTCTCTCTCCTCCCGCCGCCCAAGATGGTGAGTGAGTGCTATTTCCGTGCCACTATAGCCAGGTCTCTGGTGTATCCGCTGCCATCCTCCTCCAGGCGCGACCGCGGAGGGCCTCCTGCTCCGCCTGGCGCTAGGAGAGCCCTGCCCGGTGTGGCGCGGAGACATTGAGATGGACTAGAGCCCCGGGCGGCCGGGAGCGGGATGCGTTGATCCCGGTGTTGCTGGGCTGGGGGAGGAGGGCCTGGAGCGCCGCAATGCGCGGTTCGGAGTGGACGGGGCCGAGGCGCCTGGAGCCTTAGCATCTCCTGGGCTTCCTGGGGGCCGCTCCAGAGGTCTTGAGTGACGAGTTCTGAGCCCGCCCTGTTGCTTCTAGAACCTGCGGGGCCGCGATCCAGAGGGATCATGAGTTCGGGGCGTCTCCTGGGTTGGCGACGCGAAGAGAGCGTGGCCTCGGGCTTAGCCGGGCTCCGGCCGCTCGGGGTTCCTGGGGCTGCGTGCTCGTGCTGATGTGAGACACTCCTGTCGAGGGGTGGTGTTGGGGGGCTGCAGAACGCTGCTCGCCGGCCTCGTTCAGGCGGGGGCTGTCGGCGCCCCTTGTTTTGGAGGAGCCAGCCTGAGACCTACCCCGGACAAAGCGAGTGGAGGCGGCGGTTTAACTGACGTTTTCTTTCTGCCCAGCCGAAAGGAAAGAAGGCCAAGGGAAAGAAGGTGGCTCCGGCCCCTGCTGTCGTGAAAAAGCAGGAGGCCAAGAAAGTGGTGAATCCCCTGTTTGAGAAAAGACCTAAGAATTTTGGCATTGGTGAGTAACGGCAGAATGAAAACTGTTTTCCCAAGGGAAAATGGTAATTGGGTTGTGTCGTATTTTGTAGGTTTTAGTGGGTGTAAAGTGGTCGCAGTCCTTAACCTGTGTCTCTTAGAGACGGGGGTAATGATGATACATGCTCCTTGCTTTCATTGGGAGTTGCTGAGTGAGCATTCAGCTCAATAGGGTAGTGACCTTGGATTCAGCTTAGCCATCGGGAAACAAGTACAGTAGCATTGTCATGGCGAGGCACTAGAACAACAATTCTGCTGTACTTGGTGGCGCCTTGGCTTGTTAGATGAGGAAAAGCATCGTGCTCTCGGGTTCTCAGGTGTTTGTGTGCAGATGATGTAAAAGAATATTTGCTATCTGAAAGATGGTGATGACGTTTTAAACCACCAAGATCGCTGATGCACCAACGCCCTTCTTGGTGGCCCCAGACGTGAACTTGACATGGGATTTGAACCTCTCTCGATGTCACCCTTTATTTCTCAGGACAGGACATCCAGCCCAAAAGAGACCTCACCCGCTTTGTGAAATGGCCTCGCTATATCAGGTTGCAGCGGCAGAGAGCCATCCTCTATAAGCGGCTGAAAGTGCCTCCTGCTATTAACCAGTTCACCCAGGCCCTGGACCGCCAAACAGGTGAGGTTCTGTGGCGTGGAAAGAGTTTCTCAGGCAAGGATTCCTTATTTCATCCAGAACATGAGGGTGGATGGCCTTAGGTGTCTTGAACTGCATCTGTCATTACATTATAGTCATCATATAGCAGGACAGTGGTCTAGCATTTGTATTAAGTGACAAGGATTAGAACCTTGACTGTAAGCCTAAACTGAAGAGTGTTTTTCTAGCTACTCAGCTGCTTAAGCTGGCCCACAAGTACAGACCAGAGACAAAGCAAGAGAAGAAGCAGAGGCTGTTGGCCCGGGCCGAGAAGAAAGCTGCTGGCAAAGGGGATGTCCCCACTAAGAGACCACCTGTCCTTCGAGCAGGTGAGTAGGCCCCACCTTAGGGTGAACACTGGGGGCAGGCTGTTGCAGTGATGTAGAATTTCTTCGCCTGAAATCACTGTGAAGAGTAAAACCGAGCTTTTTAACACTGAGTCAACACCTGAGCCCAGCAGCTTCTTGTGACGGGAGCAGGCCCTGTGGTTGCTCACAAAGTGGTTGTGTGTTCTAGGAGTTAACACCGTCACCACCTTGGTGGAGAACAAGAAGGCTCAGCTGGTGGTGATTGCACATGACGTGGATCCCATCGAGGTGCGTTTGCCTGTTGACTGCTAACCCAAGGGCTTCTGTGTCAGTATTAGGAAGAGAGAGTAGGCCTAATGCCAAGTCAGTGGTGGGACTGAAGTGGGTGAGGACAGTACTGACACAGATCCAGCACATGCATGGCTCTTGCAATGATGTGAATCTCTCACTGAATTCAACCTTGAAGTGCAAATCCATGAGCTTTTTAACCCTGAGCAATTGCCACCAAGCGAACTCTGAAATTTACTGCTTTTGGTCAAAATACACTCTTCAGCTAATGCTTTCTTCCAGCTGGTTGTCTTCTTGCCTGCCCTGTGTCGTAAAATGGGGGTCCCTTACTGCATTATCAAGGGGAAGGCCAGACTGGGCCGTCTAGTCCACAGGAAGACCTGCACCACTGTCGCCTTCACACAGGTGAACTCGGAAGTACATAGCCTGGCCCCAAACCTCCCCTAGCTCATTTAATCCATGCCTCACAGTTGTTTCCTTTTGCCTTAAAGGCCAATCTTTTAGTTTAAGAAATACATTTGCCGGATGCAGTGGCTCACACCTGTAATCCCAGCACTTTGGGAGGCCGAGGTGGGTGGATCACGAGGTCAGGAGATCGAGACCATCCTAACACGATGAAACCCCATCTCTACTAAAAAATACAAAAAAATTAGCCAGGAGTGGTGGCAGGCACCTGTAGTCCCAGCTGCTGAGGCAGGAGAATGGCATGAACCCTGGAGGCGGAGCTTGCAGTGAGCCAAGATTGAGCCACTGCACTCCAGCCTGGGCGACAGAGCGAGACTCTTGTCTCAAAAAAAAAAAAAAATGTATTTGAACTTTTGCCAATGATGGTTAAGAATTTCTTCACCTGAATAAACCATGTGGTCAGCATTGCATCTGAGGCAAAAGATTGTTTTGAGCTAAAACTGAAGATATTTCTGCCTTCTAAAAGGGAAACTAAAACCAAAAAAAGCCCCACTTTTGTTTTCCCTCCTGTCTTTTAGGGAAGACAAAGGCGCTTTGGCTAAGCTGGTGGAAGCTATCAGGACCAATTACAACGACAGATATGATGAGGTAAGAGCTTTACACAAAATACTGTCATGCACAAATCATTTTACCAAATAACTGGCTGGCTTAACTTATGAGAAGTTCTGACGATCAGCTTGTAACAGTCCAACAGAATAACGCAACTAATAACCTTGAAAATATCAGAAAACAAGTCAAGCTGACCGCCTCTTTCTGTCTTTTCAGATCCGCCGTCACTGGGGCGGCAATGTCCTGGGTCCCAAGTCTGTGGCTCGTATCGCCAAGCTCGAAAAGGCAAAGGCTAAAGAACTTGCCACTA